TGGGTGTCTGTATGCAGGGCGCTTGGTCCTGTTATGTGGGTGGGGTGCCCCCATATGAATAAATTTTAAAACTATATATATATATATATTTGTGTGTGTGGATATATAATGGAAGGGGAAACACATGAAAGATGTATACAAGAACAAACGTCCTGCAACCACATGACCCCGAGTCGACTGTTCATCTTCAGATGGCGTATGCAGGGACCTTAAACAGATATAGAAGGATTTCTTACATCATCAGAGTCTTTCTGGTCTTTAAACAGTAGATTTTAAATCAGTGGATGAATGAATCGATGAATCTCCTTATTTCAAAGCAAGCATTCATCAATTTTCTTATCAAATTATTGGCTGAGCGTGCCCACCGACAGAAGGCCAACTGGAAACGGTTCTCCTTAATCTACAGCTGCACATCTGTGATGAAGACATCAGTTTTTATATGAAAAAGTAAACTGTATGGCATCTGTCCATACTTTTAGACTGGGGGTGAAAGAAAAGAGGTATCATCTTTAAAAAAACAAATGTTTTAGCTCCAGTTAGAAAACCCCAAACACATCATTCAGTTGTTCGAGCTTTAGATGAAATCTCTGTCTCTTGACAGAATCTAATCTAAATAAATAACAAAAACACTGAATAAATCTGAGTAAACCTCCACAAACCAGTAAAATGATATGTTAAGATTTTTGTTTTGCACATTCAGCAGAATCTTCCGAGACCAGATGTCTGAAAGGGCCTCCTTCCAATGTAGTGGAAAAGTACTGGAACCAGTTTCTAACATTAGTCTTTAATGACTGGAACCGAGCCGTTTCTTCGGATTTCAAACAGCGGGAGGACAACTCCCAGGTTTCAAAATAAAACAAAAAGGTTTAACTGGAAAAACATTCCTTAACTGGGCTAAAATAAACAATTAGAACTGAACCAGAGCTTGACTTGGATCAGAACAGGGTTTGAAATGCTTTTACAGTCGCACATGCCAGTGCAACAATAAAAAACACTTCAATCTCTCACACCGATTATTCATATCTTCAGTTACAGTAGTACTGCTGAACTGAGGCCAGCAGAAACAAAACATTAATGCTCCAGAAACAAAGAACGATGGATCAAATGCAGGTAATGTGTAACAGTTTCAAAAAAGAATTATAAAGTGGTATAAATGTGTGTGTTTCATTAGAGGTGGGCCAATTTGGGGTTTGAGCCGAAAACATTTTCTGATTCTTGGACAGCTCAGAACTGCTCCACTTAGACCCAATTCAGATTTTTTTTAGGAGGACTGTAATTACTCGAGAACTTTTTTTGTTTTGTCTAATTTATCAATCTGTACAGTCCTGCACTAGAACAGTCACTAGGGTTCAGTTTGTAGAGGAGCAGCATTTAAATCATCCTGTTTAAATCCTCAGAAGGTCCTTCAACTTTATGGCACTTAATGTTCCTTACAAGAAAAATTAACCACCTTACAAAACTGCTATAAAATACAGTTTATTAATCTGATTTCAACATTAAACTAGTCAGTCTTGTAGAGCTATTTCAGGCTGAAATATTTTTTTTTTAAATGACTACATATAAATTTGTTATGGACCTTTTGTAAAAAAAATAAAACACACTCCAATATCTTGTTCATTATATATATATATATATATATATATATATATATATATACAGTATGTATATGTCTCTTGTTCGAGGGTGGCTTGACACAAGGAATGTGATAACTGAACCCCTTGTCTTGCATACATCTGAGCATGGTGGTTCTTGAAGCACTGACTCCAGCTGCAGTCCACTCTTTGCGAATCTCCCCCACATTTTGGAATGGGTTTTGTTTCACAATCCTCTCCAGGGTGCAGTTATCCCTATTGCTTGTACACTTTTTTTTCTTCTACCACATCTTTTCCTTCCCTTCGCCTCTCTTATTAATGTGCTTGGACACAGAGCTCTGTGAACAGCCAGCCTCTTTAGCAATGGAATTTTGTGTCTTGCCCTCCTTGTGCAAGGTGTCAATGGTTGTCTTTTGGACAACTGTCAAGTCTGCAGTCTTCACCATGATTGTGTAGCCTACAGAACTAGACTGAGACCATTTAAAGACTTTGCAGGTGTTTTGAGTTAATTAGCTGATTAGAGAGTGGCACCAGGTGTCTTCAATATTGAACCTTTTTACAATATTCTAATTTTCTAAGATACTGAATTTGGTGTTTTCATTAGCTGTCACTTTTAATCATCAACATTAACATTTGAAATATATCAGTCTGTGTGTAATGAATGAATATAATATACAAGTTTCACTTTTTGAATGGAATTACTGAAATAAATCAACTTTTTCATGATATTCTAATTTTATGACCAGCACCTGTATACGTGTGTGTGTATACTGTATATAATGGCATCTTTTCAAATAAAGGCATCTCCTCCCCCCACTCCCACCCACCCACACACACGTCCCAGCTGAACACTCTCTGCTACTATTTAGTGAAGTTTGAAATGCCGGTTTTATAGAATATAACTTACTATTTTATTAGGTTCAGTTTAAAATGATGATGATAAAAGTAAGAGGGGCTTAATGTTTGAGGGATAAATTGGACAGATCAAGTTTATTTCCAATTTTCAAAATGCAATGCCCAGGTCACCCCGACCAAAAAGCCCAAAGCAAGTATGTGACCATGGAAAGAAAGGACAAGTAGCAAGCCAAGGATAAAGACAAAAATCTTGCAGCTAAACACGATTTACCTTCCGGAGCTTACGGTTTCATTCTTTTTCAGTCAACTACTCCCTCTACTTTCTAGATTACTTACTTCTTTCATTTCATTTAAATCGCTAAACTAAATGCTCAACTTTTTATTCCATCAGTTTGCAGCACAAGCTCAAAAGCAAAATAAACCTGTAGAGATCAGAAAGATAGAGCAAACTGTCAGTTGAATACAAAATTATAAAAAGTGATTTAATTTATTTAAACTACTGCATGTTTTCATAACAACATTTTTTTCTGACAGACCATGCTGATGCTGACATAACTCTTTGAAAAATATTACTGTAATTCCTAAATAACACAAAAATCACCCAAACAGTTAGCAGAAGAAATGGGACAGTGAAATGAAAACAGTTCATTTCAGGATAGAAAGAAAAAAGCAGATAATCAAAGCTCTGAAGATACATAAAATACCAGAGATCTTCATACTGAATCCCTCCTGTCAAACAGGAAACAGTTGAGCAGATCTAAGTGTTTAACAGTCCGAGGACTTTAACGCTGGGTGTGGCTATAAAAAGCAAACTGAGACGAAACGTTACCATCTTTCCTCACCTCTACAATGTCATCATCAAACAGCAGCCAGAAGCCGTGGCTCTTTACGATGGTGATGTAGTGTCCGCGGTTTGGACCGCTGCAGTGCAGAGACAGAAAGCAGAGACACGTTGTGACACTATATTATATTTATTACAGAGTCGAACAATACATTTAAAACGTCGTCAAAAAGCTCCAAACTCAGTTAGCCCCAGGCTAAAGCAAATTAACAGTTCATTGCCTGAGGAACATCCATCACCTTGAAGTTTCAAATGAAAATCTTTTGTGATCCTCTAGCCCTCATATAATGTAATGGGAAGGACTGTCCGCATCTCAATATCCGTAAAATTGATGGAAACATATCCGTTTTTGTATTTGCACACCATTTATGGCAACTAGTAATGACAAAGTACCTGCTCAGGGCCCCCAGGAGCGCTGGAACCGTCACGCAAAAGCCCTTGACAAAAGCATTCTCTTGGTTTTAGTTACACACACACACAAAAAAAAACATTTATAAAAAAAGATGCTTAAGTGATAATTGATTCTAATAGTTAAATAATTTCTGCTCTTTGTGTCGGAGCCTGGTGACAATCCCCCTCACTATAACAGTGAGCAGGTCTTGTATGGCACCATTTCCTGGGGTTGCTTGAAAAGGTAAAATTTCAAACATATTCAGAACGCCTAAACAAATATTTAATAGTATTATTTAATATTCTAATTTTCAGAGTTTTTCTTTATTTGTAAGCCAAAACTGGGAGATAAAGTTAGAGAGGCCAGACTGAGATGGTTTGGACATGTCCAGAGGAGGGACAGTGGGTATACTGGTAGAAGGATGTTAGAAATGCAGCTGCCAGGAACAAGACAAAGAGGAGATACATGGATGCAATTAGAGAAGACATGGAGGTAGTTGGAGTGAGATGGAGGAGGATGACTCACTGTGGAGACCCTGAAGAGGGAAAAGCTGAAAGAAGATTTTTTTAACAAGACTTTATTTACACAATAAGTTAACAACAGTGTTAAAAAAAAGGTGATCAGGACAAGCTTAAAATAAAATATTTACATGAGGAGTTTGTTGTATTGTAGTTCTCCCTGATCAAAAATGGTGCATAGAACATTTTTTATATTCCCCACAGTTTCACAAAATTCTCCAAGTGTCCAGTGTCTCTGTGGAAGCAAAACTCCAACGCCAGTCTGGTCTTGGCGTTGCACTTCCACAGAGCCACGGCATCAAGCTGAGGTCCAGCCTGCAGTCTGTCCCTGCGAGACAAGTAAATATATATGTATATGTATACGAGTTTAACTTTCTGAAATGACTGACAAAAAAAATGGAACTTTTTCACGATATTCTAATTTTGTGAGATGCACCATTAATAAGAAACTACCGGTTTCATGCCATCAGTTATAGACAGAGCTTTTCATGAATGAGCTAATAGAGGAGGTGCCACACTAGATAACCTATTCATTAACACCGCTGCATCCTTTGATCAGTTAATGCTTACATTTAACATCCCTAACTCTCACTTTTTTAAGATTCTTGCAGCTCCGTAGTTTTATATCAGCATCATTTATTCATTTCCCATCTCAACCACATAATTCTCTCTTTTCTGAAACTGAATCCAGGTTCCAAAGGGGCTACTGGGAAGATATACTCCTTACTAACAGTTTGGACGCTTTCACATCACTAGGGAATCAATGGGAGGTTGAATGTTGGAGCTTGCTGAGGAGACCTGGAAGAAAGCTATAGATGAAATACTGTACATCCTCTTCCATCTGTTTAGGACACAATTATTCAGTTCAAGGTTATGCATCGCCTTCACTACACAATTTCTGGCAATTAATATTGAACATTTTCTCAGTTGCTTTACAAGTACCTATAGAACTCTCTGCCATCACTGCCATATTTGGAATAACTCCACAAGATAGTCACCTCAGCTGTCAGGCAAAGAATATGATTTCTTTTGTAACTCTGGCGACTAATATTCTTCAAGTAGAAGGAGAAATTCTCCCTAACTTTAAAGATGTGGATCAATGATCTTCTGCACCATTTGGTGCTGGATAGCATCCACTACCCTGCAAGAGGATGTACTACAAAATTCGATACCTTATGAAAACCTTCAAGATCAATTAGACATCACTGATGTTGGCGTTTTCCACAACTGACCCTGTACTGTATATAATTTAAACATATAAAGGACCAGCTTCTTTTTCTTTCCTGTATGTTTTTCCCCCAAATCCATTACGTTCCATTACCACTTCATTTATCAGTTTTAATTTTACTTATGATACGTAATTTTGATATGTAAAATAATATATGACCAACCAATACTAGGTTACTGATTGGTACAATAATATTGTTAGAAGGACAGACACAGACAGACATCAACAAAAAGACTTGTAAAAAAAAAAAATAAATGCACCAGCAAAAAAATATATTACAGGAAAATGGGTTCCTTGAAAGAAAGAAGTGAGCAATGGTCTAAAAAAAAAAACGTTTTAATAATAAACTGAAGGTAGTTTCTTTCAGTCACTTCCTCTTGCAAAACATGTGTCAAACTCAAGGCCTGAGGGCCAAATATGGTGCTTGGTACCATCTTATCAGGCCCGAATGATATTTTCAATGCAAAATATTGTTGTCACTTTTCATTTTGCTTAAAAAACGAGCATACCTTATTTAGTTCAGACTTCTCTTGACAGTTGATCAACTTTGAAGCCAAGAAAATGTTTTTGCTAGTTTTTGATTCTGATGTGGAAAAAGTAACAGGGATGTCAAATGAGACCAATGAAACTCTTGCTGAGGACTGCAGCCAATAAAATATGTCACGTTTCTGACTTGAGTTAATACACTGACTGAAATTAGCCCTTTAGTTTCAATCAGTTTATTTACTTAATTATTTATTTTTCCAATTTTGGCCCCCATTTGTAACCAAGTTCAACACAGGACTATGGCTACATTTTCCTTGTTGCTCCTTCCACACAGGTGTTTAAGAATGATTTGACCTGCATCCTTTCATCCATCCATCCATCCATTTTCTTTACCCGCTTATTCCATTTTGGGTCACGGGGGTCGCTGGTGCCCATGTCCAGCAATCACTGTGCGAGGGGCGGGGTACACCCTGGACGGGTCGCAAGTCCATCACAGGGCCACACAGAGACAAACGAGACAAACAACCATTCACTCTCTCACTCACACCTAGGGACAATTTAGAGTTACCAATCAGCCTAACATGCATGTTTTTGGACTGTGGGAGGAAACCGGAGTACCCGGAGAAAACCCACGCATGCACGGAGAGAACATGCAAACTCCACCCAGAAAGGCCCCCGGACCGGGGTTTGAACCAGGGACCTGCTCGCTGAGAGGCAGCAGCTCTACCAGTTGCGCCACCGTGCTGCCCCTGCATCCTTTGAGTCTGAGAAAACAAGCAATGTTGTCCACCTATCCACCATATATACATTGGAATCTGAGATAAAGAGCCAAGTTTATACTGTATGCCATATTGTCAACAAAAAAAGCTACTGAGAACTGTAGCAGGCTGTCTTAAGGGATAATCTAGTCCCTTTTGATGGGATGTTCGGTCAAAAAGCTATAAAAAGTTACCGTGACATCAATTAGAGCACCAAAAATGAAATAGGACGTATCCAAGAAAAAATAAGACAGTTCTACCTGGTGACGTTTTTAATTCATTAATCATTAAACGGTGATTACTATCATTTCTCAAGAGGCTAAAGCTAAGATCCCCAGGAAGGAAATGTAAAAACTGAATTGAGAAAAGCTAACAGAAACAAACGAAAGCTGACACTTATTGCTCAAACTTCTACGTAAACAAAGGTCGTAGAAACAAACGAAGGAAAACCCACCTGCCACAGTGAACAACGACAGCAACCAGGTCGTACATGCGGTCGGGGTTGGTGGCGTCTCCGGACGTGTTGAAAAGGCGGAGCTCTAGGGGGAAGACGACGCGATAGGACAGTTTGGTGTAGCGGTGCAGCTGGTCCATGTATTTAAAGCGCTTCAGGTGGAGGGCAAGGATCATGGGCAGCTTCTTTACCCTCATCCTGAAGGAAATAAGGGTGGAAAAGTCAGCTCATTATGGATATAAATGCCACTATAATTTTGGCTTAAAATTAATGATTTGAACAATTCTTTTTTTCAGCGTGAAATGATTGTAAATCTAACAAGATATGAGTGGTACTGAAGGAAGTAGAATGCCCTAACTTGACATGGTCAAAGCCTAATATAAATATCATTAGGGACCAAGACTGACTACAAGTGGTAGATTCTCTCAGCATACACAGGATTTGTTCAACAGCACTTATTGAACTGACCAATACTCAATGGTCACCCTCAGATAGAAGGAAACCAGGATGTTCAGGAACAACCCAGGAACCACCAAGACTCAAGCCTGCTATGAACAGGAACTTGAAAAAAAGTCACTGAAGTTGTTTTTGTATGATCATTCCACCCTCAAAAACAAATGATTCAAATATATTATTAAAAGCCTGGAGTTATAACATTCATACCCATGATGAATGTATGCAAATTTCTGACTGCAACCATTAAACCATGACGAGTACTTTAGACTCTAGACTAGAGACATGCTGCTCGCTCCCTCACTATCCATCCTTAGGTTCAGTCTTATACTGCCATCAGTGGTCAAAAAAGGTACTACATACAAAAATTAACCAACATTTCTTCTTAAATTTGACAATAATTACTAATTATTGTCAAATTTCAAACAATATTATCGTTTATCGCTATAATTCATGAGAGAATTAATCGCCTAGCTAAATTTGTTATCGTGGCAGGCCTAGTCAATGAATGAATGAATGAATTAATTAAGTACAGTTCTTACAGATGTGAGCTACTTATACAATGTGACACCACTCTTACACAGCTCTGCAGAAATTGTAAAGGGGAAAACAGGCTCAGAGCATCCAAAATGGAAAAGGCACATCAAATTATAATAAACAGGGTTTCAAAAAATACCTTCTTTCCTCTGAAAGTACTGGTGTACAGAAGAACATTGTTGCCACCCCAGCAAAATAAAACGGTATTGCATGATAACATTTCAGGTCTATTGTTCAAACAGCGGAAACTTTTAACTATGTATCTATTATCAAAGTGCTGCTTTTCATTCTTATTTTAATTTTTAGAAGTGTCTTATTTTGGTCAGATGTAACATTTTATCTTGACTGCAATTCAGATGAACAATCTAATAATTAAAATTAAAAAAATAAAAGTGGTATAAACTATACTGAGTATTATAAGGCAGAAATTACCATTTTTATAATGATTAGGAACAAATTTTAAAATACTCCAAAACATATCGCTCAGTCCTTTTTCCTAAAGGTGGTTAGTTGAAAACTATACACAAAGATAAACAGTATGTTTGGGTGCTTTTGAAGAAAAATCTAATAAATACTGAAAGAATATGAAGAAGTAACTTTGCTTAAAATATAGTATATCCCTAAGTGTTAGTGATAGAGAAGATATTACCAACCTTTTCTGGGCTTCCTGTTTGCTGCGACACTGCTCACAGTAATACTTGTATTCACTGCATAACGTCTCTGTGTTGCTGAAACCCCTGTTCAGTAGACACAAGGACAACTCATCAATCTCGAGGGTCTTTCTATGAAACATTAGTCTGATTACTAGAAGCATCACGTACCTGAGACAGTGTGTGATTGATGTGTTCTGCTCCACATCCACTGACAGATCCAGGAAGTCCTCGTCCTTACTGCTTACCTGAAACACATCAAACATACATCGGGATTCTCCAAGACACAAAGAAACAGATGAGTTCCTAAAAAAGTACTGTATAATGGAAAATATATACTATACACCTGATATTGCACTGAATGCTCTTGTGGAAATATTTGTAATGATTGTGGTCAAACATTTTGTTCTAAAAGTGTACACTTTTTAAGCCCTTGAAAAAGTGGGTTCTACAAATCGACACTGTCTTTCTTAAATTATTCCAAGAAAAACGGACCAGACAAGACAAGACCAGACCAGACAAGACCAGACCAGACCAGACCAGACAAGACCAGACCAGACAAGACAAGACCAGACAGACAAAACCAGAGAGACAAGACCAGAGAGACAAGACCAGAGAGACAAGACAAGACCAGACAGACAAGACGAGACCAGACAAGACAAGACACCCAGAGAAGACGACCAGACAAGATGACCAGACAAGACAACTGGACTAGACCAGACAAGACGACCAGACCAGACAAGACGACCACACACGGCAAGACAAGATGACCAAACACGACGACAAGACAAGACGACCAGACTAGACCAGACAAGACGACCAGACACGACAAGACAAGATGACCAAACACAACGACAAGACGACCAGACACGACAAGACGACAAGACATGACGACCAAACACGACGAAAAGACGACCAGAATAGACCAGACAAGACGAACAGACACGACAAGACA